CGATAACATTCCAGATGTTGTTACTGAAAGCGATGTTCAGTTTACCGGAAAAGTGACGACTCAGAGTGAACCGGAAGAACTAGTTAACCTTGCCAGATACTCTTCGTACTCTCGCGCGTTGACTGTTATGGTGTATGTACAACGATTACTGCGTAACTGCAAAGTACCCGTGTCTGAAAGAACGTTTGGTAGTCCGTTAGTCGAAGAACTCGAAAAAGCAAAGAAAACTCTGATTCGCCAAGAGCAAATTAAAACATTCACTTCGGAATTTAGAGAGCTTAAACGTGGACGTCCTGTGCACAAGCAAAGTAAATTAGTATCTTTGACACCCTTCTTAGACGAAGATGACATAATACGCGTTGGTGGTCGCATTGGAATGGCTGCTATACCTTTTGTTACTCGGCATCCGATCGTATTGGATTCTAGTGGTGATCTAACCAAACTAATTGTCATGGATACCCACAACAAGCTTGGACACGCGGGAGTGGACAATGTTCGAAACGAGCTTCGACAGCAGTTTTGGATCCTTCGCTGTAAAGCCACGGTTAAGAAGAATCTTCATAGTTGTTGGTTGTGCAAACTACGCCGTACCGTGCCACGTCCACCGAGAATGGCTGATTTACCACGCGACCGGCTGTTGGTGAGTCCTCCCTTTACGAAAGTTGGCGTTGATTACTTTGGCCCGCTACAGGTGAAATATGGAAGAAAGCATTTAAAAAGGTACATTTGTCTTTTTACCTGTCTCGTGACACGAGCGGTCCATTTGGAAGTAGCATTCTCTCTCGAAACTGACTCTTTTATTATGTGTCTCCGAAGGTTTGTGGCACGGAGAGGTAGTCCTCAAGTCATCTATTCGGATAATGGGACAAATTTCGTGGGAGCCGATCGGGAGCTCAAGGAGTGTATTGAAAATTGGAATCAAAGTCAAATCGCTAACGAACTTAGTCAAAGGGGAATAAAATGGGTGTTCAATCCCCCAGCATCACCACACATGGGAGGAGCATGGGAGAGACTAGTGCGTTCGTGTAAGACATCATTCAAAGCAGTGTTAAAGAAACAAGTGTTGACCGATGAAGTCCTGGCAACTACAATGGCAGAAGTGGAATCATTAGTAAACAGTCGCCCTCTGACCGAAGTTAGCTCTGATGTTGACGCAATGGAAGCGATTACGCCAAATCATTTCCTTTTAGGACGTCCTAGTATAAACTTATCGCCTGGTGTATTCGTTGATAAAGAGATATCGAGTCGTAAGCGTTGGAGACAAGCGCAAGTGGTCACAAATCACTTATGGGGACGTTGGTTAAGAGAATATTTGCCTGCTCTTGTTCAAAGGGCAAAGTGGACGCAAGACGTACCGAATCTTAAAGTTGGAGATCTGGTTATTGTGGTGGATTATTCTACTCCGCGTGGCACATGGCCTTTGGGAAGAATTATTGAAGTCTACCGAGGTTCTGACAAGATAGTACGCAGTGTTGATGTGAAAACGAAGTTTGGAGTCTTCAGGAGACCAGCAACAAAGATTGCAACACTCGAGGAGTGATCGTACTCCTAATGACCAACGATCACGGGGGGAGGATGTTCAGACTGATTTGAATATTCATATTTCATTTATTATGCGAAATACGAACGCGTACGGGGTCCCGGGGAAAAGCCCCGAAGATTCCCGGATGAAAGTGTGCTCGAGAGACAAAAATATAGTTTTTAGTGTGTTTTGGTTTGGAATATATTCATGTTTCTTTATAAAGTTTTGGTACTTTTCTTGGTTTAATGTTAATTATTGTTGCCCCAGTCGTTAGTTGGGATGGCCCTAAGCTGGTGGTAACAGAATGGCTACGCTTTAAAATGAATGTAAACTTTAACGTTTTCGTCTATTATTTGTTTAGCAATTTACATTTCAGTCGAGGTTGCGTTTTATTTTATACACCCTGTATATGCGATTAAATAGTAATTTTTAAAACGTCAAGTAGTCCTTCTCAATCTATTTCTCGATGAGAATTGCCAGTTTAGGGCGAAAAAGCAATTTTAAGTTACATTTTTCGTAAACAGGACACATATAAAAAATATTAATTTGCTTGGCAACCCCCCCCCCCCTGTCAAAAGTACCCCCTCCCCAATGTTCAGCAACGAAATTTTTGACTAACGTACGAAAAATCCTAGATCCGCCCCATGCAGCAGTGTTTTATCAGATCAGATAAAGGTACGAGGCGAAGCCGAGTATCTTTAGGTCTGCAAGATAAAACACGCACTGCGAATGTTTTAAATTGCTTCAAAAACAATCGATCTATGTTGTGTAAGTCGAGAAAATCGAAGTTAAAGTTCAAGGGAAATCTCTATCACATATAAATACATTCTGTCCGCCTTTGTTAGATATTTTGCTGTATACAATTTAAATACAAATGCAGTTTAGCGAGAAATTTTAAACGATATTAATGAATTAAATGGAGAGTATTGATAAGGATCCGTCAAAATCGTGTAACGCGCAAGATACACCGACTGATGAGAGTTTTTTAAATGCGTCGCAAGATGTTCAAGATGAAAAGCGCATTGTCAACAACAATTTTATAGAAGCGGCAAAAGAAATTTCGGTTTTTCCCTTATCTATACCGAATCAAACACAATTAGAAAAGTGGATTATTGCCCTGAAACTTCGCTATTGGATCGATTTTGGAAACAGTGACGAATATTATGTCGGTTGGACACGGAATCTTAATACAGCCGGTGAGTTAGTTGAGTTATTAATCACAATTAGCAATTGTAATGAGGAGAATAATCATAGTGATCGTTTATTTACGATAACAGTTTGCTTAATAAAGAAAGAAATTTCGATACAAGGACAGTACTGTGCCCTTTGGAAAAGAAATGAATATGCCAAACTTAATTATTTTGTATCTGAACTGACTACGCTATCTGATATCAACACAATAACAGTCGGACACTTGTATGACAAAGTGTTTGTTCCTAACAAGTCGCTTAATTTCGAGGGAGTTTCTTTAGACGCATATACAGACTCTGATACTGAGGAAGATTTAACACAGTCACAAGAATACACTGACTCTCAATCATTTCTTGACGGTAACAAGCAAGGAAAGAAAATCAAATCCCCAACCAAAATGCGGCGTAAAGGTCAAGGGTTAATTCGACGCAATGGCGGCAATGCCTCGTATGCAAACAGCGCTCAAAAAGATAAAAAGTCTGCGTGTAGTTCTAAATCCGAAGGTTTACAAGAGGTTTGGGAATATGTACGTTCTGTCAGTAAACGCATTGAGTCTCTCGAGAACGTTTAATACTTCACAGTTACATAAAATTTTGGCTGACTCAGTTGTTGATATAAAAATCACTATAAAGGGACTGGTCATAAAGTAACTGCTAGGGTGGGCCGGAGTGATTTGGGATGGGCCATGGAAAATCTTTGGGCAGTTTCGATGGGCCGCCAATTATTTTGTATGTCCACGGTTGGGCCAGCAAACAAAAACCCATATCTACTTTCATCACTTATTCTGATAAATATAATTATAGCAAATACAACATAATACAAATCAAACATAATACAAATCTAACAGGGCTGTACACTTCACAGAGGGCAGCAGGGACAACTGCCTACCCGGCTTCCCCCCCCCCCCCCCCCCCCCCCGGCCGAGAAAATTTAACTAAAATAAAAATTTCATGTAAACAATATTCAAAGTGTCTATACAGCCGGATACTTAGTAAACTGTCACTTGCCAATCCATACTCATCGAATTTTCAAAACTTTATTGTAATCATATGAAGCAAAAGTTCTGTCACTTGTTGTTTACACTTGCCAATGTTAACTGTTGAGTAACATACACAAGCTAGTCGAGGAACATGCATTACTGTAGCAAAGAGTCAATCATATATTGAAGACCACTGAATAGTAGATGTTTTGAAGATCATGAGTGAAGTATTATAATTCATTTCCAATCCTGTGCACAGTTAATGATATACCACACTGTTCGGTTTAACACAGCATATCCACACAAAAACAATTTGTGTTGTAGGAGAATATCTGTTTGAGTAGAAGGTATCACAAGTTTAGTTTTGTACATATCGTGTGCCATTGATCTGATCCATCCATATAATATATGATTATATTGTAGCTGTTAAGTTATTTTTCATACTAATGAATTTAGGTAAGATTGTCTTGCAAGTGGGTAGTTCTGACAAAATTATCCAGCCAATATCCAGTACATCAGTACATGTATCCATCATTCTTGTATTAATCTCTAAACAAAAACATTTATATTAGAAAGCTAAATGACAATGTAATTAGGAGGGAGGGTGGGGATTCTTTTATTAGCATTTGAAAATGTTTTGTTTAATTAACTCTTATGTGCAAAACCAACATGTATAAGTATAATTTTAACTGATCTGTGATATCTTTACCTTTGCTCTATTAAACACTACATTTCATTTTGTGACAACTTAGTTGGACAGTTGTTTTGAACAGTGTTACAGAAATACAGGACCAGGATTTAATTCAATATCTCCTGAGAACATTAGTTTCTTGTGATATATTTGTTTATAATTGGCAATATAATACCTGCACAATTAATGATTGTTTTTATACTGTATAAATGTATATAATAAAATATGATAATAAAATATGTGGTATTTGACTACTTAACAGATGAGGATAAGTTTCCATGTTGATAGATAACTTCGGAATAATATCACAAGTAGAATGGTGAAAACAAGACAGCCAATTCAAGATAAAATCAAGATATTTTTGAAGCCAAAATATGGAAAAGAATAACACGACTTGCACGAGGCCAAACTACGCCCGTTCGCAGGTTAGGACGTTAGGTGCAATCACGATGTAAACAATTGATGTAAGCTAATCGCTGATTGGCTTAATTATATAAGCTTGTCGCTGAATGGCTATGGGTAACGTTAATAGTAATCTACTTCGCAAATACAAAAATAAAGATATACACCGGCACTGTATTGATATACGTTCATACCTGCAAGTTTTTTTTTCATTATAAAAGTGTATTTTCCCAATTTAGATGGGGTGGGTGGGTCATGAAATAAATTTGGTAAGATTGGATGGGCTTTGAAATTTTTATCTACATCCTAAGATGGGTCACCAAACTTATTCGCAAAATTTGTGATTTACCTCCAGCCCACCCTAGCAGTTACTTTATGACCAGTCCCTAATGATCAGATCAATGAATCTAATGATGAACTGTCAAATTCACTTAAAGATCATTTAAAACACGAGCTATCTGTTACGAGAAGGGAACAAAAGATTTACGAAGTTGAGTTTAATCAAAAGATTAATAAAGCTGAAACGGAAGTTAACCGAATAAGGGGGAGAGTGGGTTCTTTGGTAGAAGAGAAAAATAGTCTTTTGAAAAGAGTTCAATCACTTGAAAAGGAGAATAAAACCTTACAAGAGAAAGTAACACAGCTAACTGATAACAATAACTGGAATCACGAAAACTCTCAATCAACCGAAAAAATCCCTGCAAGTCTCGTACTAGATCAGTCTGTAATTGTTGTTAATCAAGAGGAATTTGATGCCAACGAAACTGCACCAATAGCAAACAATAGTGAAGTTGGAAACGAAGATAACACATCCAGCACCACTTCGGATAAGCCTGTCGAGACACAACGGTTTGATTTCGTTATGTTAAGCGATTCAAATAGACGATACATCGATGTTTCAAAATTGTACTCAAATAGAAACAGCAAAATGATTGCCTGCAATACCACAAGTAAAGCAAATGAAATTCTCAACTCGCCCAGGTTCAGTGTTGATAAAGGTCTCATCATAAACACGGGGGTTAATGATATGGAACGTTTGTCTCCAGAAGAAATAATTACTGAACAAGTAAAATTAGTTAACACAGCATGTAAAGTTTTCCCGGATAAGAAGATAATAGTATCAAGCATCACCCCAAGACTAGACGATTTAGGTAGAAATATCAATAAAATCAATGACGCAATTGATGACGAAATTAAGAATCTACCGAATGTTATCCACGTGTATAATGGATATTTAGAAAATACTAAATACTTCCACGATAATAAACATCTTAACAAGAAACGTGGAATACCAGCTTTGGCCAAAAATATTAAGTGGGGTCTTCGGTCTGCTTTTGGTCGTGAGAAGAAAGAAGACCATGCAGTACACAACAGCCACAAAGTCAAAAAACATCAACCGGAAATTATCCCGAGAACTGAAGAACAAAATGCAACAGTGATCAACCCTCCACAGCCGGATGAAATGTTAAATGGAATGCAACAGCAAATCAACTTCATTACAGATCTCTTTAATAAAGTGATCCAATCGAATGTCAACCTGCAACAATAACAATATCTGCGGGTAATGTATCCTCCATGCCCACAATTTTATAATCCTAGATTATTGAATCAAGCTTAATATATGTTAAAAATAGTATTCTTATTATATATAGCCCACATTAAACATTTTTATTCATACATTTAAACTTTAATCAATGGCAAAAAATTTTCTTCGATTTGCAGTTTGGAATATTGAAGGTCTGTCTTGCAAACTTAACGATATAGATTTCATTTCTAAATTAGAGAATTTTGATTTAATTTCCTTAGTGGAAACATGGCTACCCTATGGTCAAAATAATATTAATATTGACGGTTTCTTTTCATTTTCAAAAAACAGAAAAGACATTTCCCAAAACTCACGTAGAAATTCTGGCGGAATAACTATTCTTGTTAAATCATCTTTAAGAAAAGGTGTTAAATTTCTAGATAAGGAAAGTACTGAAGAGTTTGTATGGTGGAAACTGGATAAAACATTCTTTAAACTTCCACATGATATTTTCATTTGCACTGTTTATATACCATGCACCTCAGTATTCCTCCCGTGAAACACGTATTAACATTGATCATTTTGAAAGTCTCCAAAATAGCATTGATAAATTCACAATGTTATATAGGTAAGGTAGTTTTATGTGGTGACTTTAACGCTCGAACAGGTGTCCTAGATGATTTTATTGACGATCCCTTTTTTAGGGATGAAATTTATGCCTCATTCACAACGGATAAACGATCCTCTAGAGACTTGCATGTGAATACATATGGGCGGTCCTTAATTGATTTATGTATTGGAAATAGTATGGTTACACTCAACGGTAGAACTAAAGGTGATCTCATTGGTCAGTTCACGTGCCAAACGTATAATGGAGCAAGTGTTGTTGATTATGTCATTGTTTCGCAAGACCTGCTTTCATCAATAGTTAGTTTTTCAGTTGCGGATATTACTGAATTTTCCCATCATTCTTATTTATCTTTTGTAATAAGGATTGAAACTCCCAACGTATCTCAAAATGATTTAAAATTGACATCTCATCCTACGTCTTTTTTTGTGGGACGAGAATCAGAAAAAATTATTTAAGAGAGTGTATAAACTCGCAGGATGTTCAAAATAGATTAGATTCTTTGTTTTCTCAGACTACCACATGTGAAAGATCAGCTGATGTTGATGCACTGGTAAATAATTTCTCTGAAATATTGCGCACTACATCTACAACTGTATTAAATACAAAGAAACAAAAGAACACGATCAATAAAAACATTAAAAACAAAACAAAAGTAAGGCAAAAATGGTATGACGCAAATTGCCATATTCTAAAAAGGAATTTGAGTAATATAGGTAAACTACTCTCAAAAGATCCTAATAATATTTTTATACGTCATTTATTCTTTGCAAAAAGAAAGGAATATAAACGTATGGTTAAAAAACAAAAAAGGCAATTTTATAATTCCTTATTGAATAAAATTGAAATGTTATCTGACAACAACCCCAAATAATTCTGGAAATTAGTTAATGATATAAAAACACGTAAATCATGTACGTCAAACGAAATTTCATCATCAGAATGGTTTGATTATTTTAAAAACTTGAACAAAATAAATTTTAATACCGAAAAGTCTAGCAATGAAGCTCAGATAGTGAAGGATTTCGATATTTGGGCAACCTGCAAAGACGACACCCTTGATAATCCAATCACAACTGAGGAATTACATAAATTATCAAAGAAATTAAAAAACAAAAAAGCGAGTGCAGGTGATTCACTGTCCAATAAGATCATTAAGGTAGCGGTTGAAGTTCTGCCATCTTATTTCGTAAAATTGTTTAATACTGTTTTGTCCAACGGTATTTTTCCATCACAATGGTCGCACGGTTTTATTGTTCCAATACATAAATCAGGAAGTACAATGGATCCCAGTAACTACAGAGGAATAAGTATAAGTAGCTGTTTGGGAAAATTCTTTACTTTAATTATGAATACACGTTTGAATAAATTCTTAGAAGTGAATAAAATAATGAATAAATGTCAGATTGGTTTTCGGAAGAATTGTAGAACAACTGACCACTTGCTCGTTGTTAAAACCATAATAGATTGTTACAAATCAAAACGCAAACCGATTTTCACATGTTTTATTGACTTTAAAAAAGCCTACGATAGTGTATGGAGAAAGGGCTTATTTTTCAAACTTATCCTTTATGGTTGCAGTAAGAAATTTATGCGCCTAATGCTTAGCATGTATTCTTCAGTGAATTTGTCGGTAAAATTGGACAAAGGTTGTATTCCATTTTTTAAATCTCAAGTTGGAGTAAAACAAGGTTGTAATCTAAGTCCTACTTTATTTAATATGTTTATAAACGGGATACCAGATTTATTTAACAGCTCTTGTGACCCAGTACAACTTGGAAAAACCGATTTAAACTGTTTACTTTACGCAGATGATTTGGTTTTATTATCCGAATCTAAGACTGGATTACAAAACTGCCTTACCAAGCTAGAATCTTTCACAAAACAATGGAAATTAAAAATTAATTTAAAGAAATCTAAAGTTTTAATTTTTGGAACAACTACTAAAAGACAGTTACATCTATCTTCAAACTGGTATTTTGAAGGTAATGTCCTAGAACAAGTAGACGAATACTGTTA